GCAACTAAGCATCCAGCTAGACTGGCTGATAACCTTTAGTTCAATGATCTAGGAGAGGTAAGCCACAACCAAGTATCCAGCTAGACTGGCTGATAAGCTTTGGTTCAATGATCTAGGAGAGGTAAGCCACAACCAAGCAAATCATAGTTTGGAGGCAAAGCGGTTGTTAGTTTTTAATCCAAATATATTTCAGTTCATGTACATCATTTCAGGGATTCTTTGGATTGAAAAATGTTCCATGTTTTGGGGTTTTGCAGGTGAATGATGGACCATTATGTCGATGTAGTAAGAAAGCCAGACAAGTTGGCATACGACACAACATCTATCCGGGTGAGAAGCCTATTCCACCATGTGATCCATACTCCAACAATGCTGGCAAGCTGTATCATTATCGTATTACAATGGCACCGAGTACAAACTTCCTGGTAAGAAAACAAATGTTGTCATACTTTGAACAAAAAGATCCAGAAAGTAGTAAATTTAGAAGTAGACCCTAACAGTGGCCTAAATGTTGCGGTTACTTTGTGGTAGTATCTTGCACAGCAAATCTCATTATTATTTAGCATCTCTCTCTTTCTTACAAGGAGTTTTCTGACATCAACAATAGTCATATGCTTTTGTTTGTTTGTTCTAGACTCATCAACCCACTGTTATTGAGTATGATGATAGGGAATACATCTTTGAAGGATTCTCGCTCTTTTCACATTGCAAGTTAGACAACATCCCTCCTTGTAAGGTGGTACGTTTCAACATTGAATATTCCATCATATTCATGGAAGAGCCCATGCCTGAGGTGAGTAGAATGAATAATTTTAAGTGATGAGAGACTGAGGGGTGTGTGAAGCCAAGGAGTGGCCCAAGAGGAATTGAGATTGATGGGATCAAAATGTTTCATTTTGCCTCTTTCCTCCGTCTTTTCTGTAGAATTTTTCAGTGAAAGGACTGGACCTGTTTGGTGACTTTTTGTTCTTTGAGATCTTGGAACTCTACGATTTTGAGCTCGTCAGTAAAGTTGGTGGCTGTCGTTTCTTCCACTTCATGCCACGGTTTGCCCGGCAACTACCAAGTAATGGCAAGGAGATTTTATCCATGCATCATGTAATCCAACACCTGTTACAGATGAGTCGACCTGTCGTTGAAGCCAAAGATTTGAATTATTGGTTGGAATGTAATCAGTTAACTTGGGAACGGTATGCAGAGGAGTTGAAAGGAATGATCGTGACTTGTCCTGGAAAGGTAAGAAGTAGACTAGGGATAGAAGGATAAAATGATGAGCTGAAACTGGTCTTTGAAGCTGTCTTGTCATGAAATAGCAAGGAACTGAAATGAGAGCAGATTGGTATAAATAGTCATTATGGCCACCTTCAGGAAGACCTACATGTATCTATCAATATTGCAAAGGATGTTTTACGTTTATTGTGTTTGCCTAATGGATAATCAGGTGACATGTATCCATTTTGTTTCAAGTTTGAATTGTTAAGTTCAAATGACTTGTCTACATGCACCTCTCAGTTGTTCGTGCACAAAGCACAGAACTTCTCATTGAAGAAGTACCTTGGTGTTGCTTAGAAAGTTTTGAGTTTTGGAAAGTTAATGGACTTCCTCATGTGGTTTGATATTTCCCTACTTTACACCTGCTAGAAGCCTAGCTCAGTCCGTGTTGATCAGGTAGACAGGGAAGTTGAACAGAAACCTGACGACACAAAGGACATCAAGGACAAGTATCCAACAATTGTACATTTTGGACTGCGACCGGCTCAGCTCAGCTATGCTGGCAATAAAGAGTAAGTACACATGGAGTATATGCCTCAAATTAAATCTCCTTATAAGTCCAAACAAGTCAAATTACAAGTTATGTCAGAAATTTGTCACAAAAGTGAAATAATAGAGTATGGTCAAAGACAAGGGAAATCCTTTCTTGCAGTTCATTTCTTGTCATCTGCTGTTGTTTGTAGTTATCAGAACCTGTTTAAATCCTACTTGAAGATGAATCATCTGCTAGCTAATAAACCAAAAGTCAGCCTTCAGGATCGACAGAAGCTAGCTGAGAAAGAGAAGAAGTTACAGAGGATGCGCTTACAAGGTCACATGACACGTGAAGTCACAGCGGAGATCTGCTGCAAGGATATGCTGATGACAGGAATAGGCTCCGATGTTTGCCAGGTGGATGGTTTTTCTAGAAATCTTAATTGAAATTGTAGCATGACATTTCGTTAGCCTTAATTGTTTAGAGGCTAGTGAGATAAGTACATGCTTAACCTGGCATTGTGTCCATAGGATTTAATTCCCTGTTATACATTTGTACTCTTGATTCTATCTGTGATACATTTGTA